AGGTTCGGGAAACTTTCTTTTAATTTAATTTAACTGTAAGGAAACAAAATCTAGATTGATCAGATGGCATGGGTATCAATAATCCCAATCATATAGTAATAAAACGATTTAAAACAAAGCTGGAAGTTTTCCCGTGTTGATGGGGACTCTAATCTGATCCTCAAAGTCTCTTTTCTGCAGCAGCTATAATGAAGTTCAGTCCCTCCTCTGCCTACCTGTCATACTCAGATCCCCCCGGCTTTCCTGTCTTCTGCTGGCCTCTGAGCACCAGCAGCCCGTCTCAATCTGTCACCGCTGTCAGGCCCACAACGCCACCAAAGAACCCGGAAAGTAGGACACAGACAAGTCTTCACACACACATACAAACACACACACACACACACACACACACACACACACACGCTCTGAGGGGAACGCTTCATGAAATGTGGTGAGGAGTACACATTTTGCGACACAGGCCTGGGAGTCCGTCATTGTGATATGTGCTGTTATCTGTGGGCAGCCGGCTCTAAATGGGGCATTCAGTGACTCTTCAAAGCCCCCGTTCCTGCAGGGCGACTGGGCTGCATTGTTACTGTTTTAATTAGAACTGCTTCTCGCCTGCTCGCTGAGATCCACCCAGCCTCAACATCAAAGCTCTGCTCTGAATAATGATGTACCCTCCATGCCTCAGGTGCAGCCTGAAACTCAGCAACCACCCCCCCTACCCTTCTCCTCATCCCCACCTCCCTCCAAAACTCCCTCCACACCTCTTTGTACGTTTCTGCTCCCAATTTACTGCTGCTTCCCTCCACGCTGACACAACACATTTTGTTGTGTTGATGATGGCGAGCTCTCCGTGCGGCTGCAGCGGGCTTGTGTTTTCAGCAGTTTTAAGATGGACGTTTTTTTGAGTTTTTCTGCCTTTAATGTCGTCTCACGAATCTGTGATGTGATTTTTATCTTAGTTTTATTAGGGTTAATTTGAGCCCAGAAAAATGTCTGATTTCAGACCCAAATTGCTGGTAATGAGAAAAAAGAAAGCTGTCAGTGGAATAAGAAAACCTCTTCTGTCAGGTTCTTGATGGAAGACAATTTCTTTATTCTAAGAAACTTATCTCTTATTCTAAAAAAACTTGAAAAGTAAGTTTCTCTCTTTTCCAATTGCAGATTGTTCTACTCATTACAAGCAATTTGAGTCTTTCTTTTGGAGTGTAATGTCTCGAAACAAACCATTTCTCTTGACTTGTCAGGTGAATGTGGGTAAAATTACGTCTAATTAGATTTTTTCACCTGGAGGTAAGACAAAAACACTCACTAAGATTTGATTTTTGCTGTGAAAAAGTTCCTTTTAAGTAAACTTAAAGTCTTCAGTAACACAAATAAAAAAAAAACCTTTCTACTTATGATATTTATGGTCACATGTACACACTATCAACTGTCTTAAATATCATTTTGAAATTTTAATAGTTAAACCTTAGAAAACACTCTGATACCTGGTGTGAAGTAGGCGGGCTCTGCTTGTATACTTCTCACTCCTGCTCAGTCTGTCTCCTTACATCTGAACTAATTTATCCTTTTAACACCTTTACTATTTGTGTACTTAACAACAACGTCCTGCAGTCTAAGTTTGTGTGTGCCGTTCCTGTCTGCACAACTTCCATTTTTCTATTTCCTAACTATTTCACATATCAAAGTGTCCTTGAAATAGCTTTATAAACACCGCTCATTTATTATTTACCTGCTGTGGATTTGGAGAAACGGTGGGTCGGAGGTTTTGGTGACCTGTGGCAGGGTCTTGCTGAAGTGGTCCCGCATACGCTCTGAAAAAGAAGAAGAAATAAATAAGAGCTACAGGTATTTTGTGGCTCGACACTCAGAGAGCATTGAAATGAATATTTTTCAGATGCCAGAGTTTCTTTGTCCTCGGGTTCAGACGGATCAAACATGTCGATCAAAGCTGATACGCCCACGCGGTCCTGAGAAACAGTCTTGAATAAAACGCCTTTGAACAAAGTTTCCTGAGAGATACGGATGTTAATATTCACCCAGAATTTTTTAACGATGCACAGTCACAAAGTGAATTTTGAACTTACATTAGTTCAAGTAAAGGTCGACCAATTTTGGTTTCTCAGGGTCGATACCAATACCAATAATTGGTACTTTATAAGGCTGATATTGGTTCGATACCAATACAGATAATTAGTACCTTATGAGGCTGATATTGGATTGATACCAATAGTGATAATTGGTACTTTATGAGGCTGATAACAGATTTAAGGAACTGAAATACTTTAACAGTAAAAACTATAAACTAAGAATTTGGAATAAGACTCCAAGACAAAACTTGGCTTAAATGCCTTTAGTAAAAGTAGTGCACTTTAAAAAATATAAACTTAAAAAAGGTATTTTGACTCTGTACCACCACTCAGACAAAGAGAATCTGATATACAGGCCTGCCTCAAAAACAAGCCTGCCTCATATAAAAGCCTGGTGCCTTCTGCAGTGAAAGAAAACCAAAGCTCTGGTTTATATTTGAGAATTTATGGTAACTGGACTGGCACTGAATTTTAGGAAGAACCTTGTCTGGGACTTTTGGTTTGGTTTGGTTTGTCCGTGAAAAGTTCCTGTTTCACTGAAACTGGCACCTTTGATAGAAGAACACAAACTCAGAGTTGGACAGAAACAGAGAAGCAGAAACTAACACAAATATTTGGACATCATGTGCAGTTTTGTGCAGCAGAGACTGGTTCGGATTCTTTCATGACACCTGAGAGCTGCTGTCAGGGGAAAGCTAAGACTAAAATAACATGTAAAGAAGTGGGGTCAAATTTGATCATTTTGAAACTGAAACCAGATCAGACTCTGCAGTCAAACTTCAGCCCTGAATTCAGATCCCCATTTATCGTCTCTGTAGAGATTTTAGAGTTCACCTCCTCCTCCTCACAGTTTTAGTCCTGAAAAGCTCAGACTTGATTCACTCATAAGGAATCTAACAGATCACCGAACAAACACTGATGACGTTGACTCCATCTCTGAAACATCACCTTGTATAATCTGACCTCGGCCTCGAGCTGACTCTCACTCATTCCTCCGTGCTGACTCACCGCTGCATTCCTGTTTCTCCGAACACTGCGAGGAATGAGGCAACGCCGGCAAATCTCATGAAACATACAAATTGTGCAATCTCTTGAATCATGGCGTTCTCAGCTGATTGTGCTCTGACACGGCACTCCTCACAGCTAATCACATTTTAATGAGTCAAAAACAAAATATGATTCAGGATAACAATGTGCAGTTATGTAAGCCTTAACCCTCCACACGCACACACACACACACTCACTGCTTTGTGTATTGTATTCAAAGCAGGCCAGCAACCGTCCTGCAGTAAGGTGGCAGCTCAGTGAGGCAGCGAGCTAATTTTACAATCTGATTAACATAACACTGGAAGGCTTTCTTAAAATGGCACAGCCCGCTTCATGCGAACCTTCAGCTGAAATAAATGGAACAAAGCTGCAGATTCTGGAAACTACTCAAGATTCATTCATTCAAGGGAGAAAGCAACACTGATCTAAAATATACACAAACCTCTATTTACAGATATATCTGTGTTATCCTGTTACATAATTATCATCATACGATCACCGACCAATCAGAATAAAGAAGGGCGGGACTTCTGAAGTCAACATAAACGGCATGCTGAGGAAAAAGTGGCCACACTGTTATTCTTTAAGATACAGTCTTAAGGTCCAGACTGATGAAGGTGTCAGGGGTGGACTAAGGGTTGATATATAGGGGTGCCCCGGCCCCATGAGTGCCCCCCCTCCCTGAAATTTGATCACACAACCCCAAATCCTGAACCATGATTCGCTATTTGCCTTATCATGGATGATAGAGTTATATTTTACTTAACTATTTTTGTGATTTAATGTGCCATGTGATGTTTATTTTAGCAATTTCAGTGCAAAACATTTTCTGTTTGTTTGATAAATTGATAGTTTAAACAAATATCTTCAGTTCACAAAGATTTAAGCTTGGAAACTTTGGTATTCTGTTATTTTTATCTGACTAATATCAATATTTAATGTTTTTTTTTTTGCAAATCTACAATAATCATAAGAAACTTGACTGACTAACATGGTTAAAAAAAAGACATTTTCCAGAGTTAATCGCATGAACATGGCTGACAGAAGGAGGTGAAAACATGCAGTTTGACGAACATTAACACTCCACCTCTGCTTCTCTGACAGTAAACAGCACAGTAATCCCATTTTAAACACAGTGTGTTTGTATTCTTAATGTCAGGTAAAGGTGTGTGCAGCCTAGCTTATAATGATGATAACTGAGCTAACTCTTATTAACATCTGGCCCCTGGTGTAATAATACAGTTTTGTTTGCTGTTTGGATAAAGGCCTGTCGCCTCGTTACAAGGCCAGGATTAATTGCAGAAGGCTGTTTGGTCGAGGTCTGCTTCGGCCCGTTTAGCTGGTCGGCCTTCAGGGAGTAAAACATTCAGAGCAGCTCAAGGCCAACGCCTGCCGCATCCATCATGAGGGTTACATCACCTACATCATCACATTAGAGGGGGGGGTTCATTTGGGACTCACAGCTTCCTGAGTGAAGGAGTTGTTGATGCGCTTTGGTTTTACGTATGCTTCAATTATAAAACATCTGAACCACGGCTGCCACTATCCGGAGAGTCAGTGAGACGCAAGTTACTGAAACAATGAATGAATTAATCAGATTTTAATATGAACGGTTAACTTATGGCTCTAATTTTGAAAGTAAAATGCAAAACATCAACATGTCTCTCCCGATATAATGACCTCAACGTCTCTGGTCTCTCTGCTGCTTCAGATAATGAGAGTTCTGTGCAGCTACAGCGAGCAGAGGGTCTTTGTATTCAGAGAAGAAGACGAGCTTCAGAGAACGAGGAAATAACTGATCTATTTTTGCGATATTAAATGAATACATGAATGTTTGAGCGAGAGAGGGAGGGGGTGAGTGGAAGTGGCACAAAATCAATCCTGTAATTGGTGCGCGGCCCCTGATGAAGATGTCGGAGCATCGTAGGCGCAGAGGTCACGGAGAGGCTGATCCATGACGATGACATCACAGCCCGCAGAGTAACAACAAACGCCGTCCTGTTTTCGCAGAAACAGAAGCTGTTTGTTCGCCGCCCCTCTCTTCTCTTTCAAGATTGGTCCTGTGAGTTGGAAATGTGACGACACAGGACACTGACCTTTGTTTCTCTGGAAACAGACTCTCTCTGTCAGGCCGCAGAGGATGGAGCGGGGGGAGCAGGCGGGGCGGGGAGCGGCTCTTTGGTGTCGAGTGCGGATCACATGAGTGGCTAAAATAACAAAGCAGTCTGATTCAGGGCTTTGTGTACTCACTGACACGAGATTCAGATCTAAAAAGAGCTGAAACCGTGTTGACGCATGGGCAGCTCTGAAACCAGAGGAAAGGCGGTCTAAGCTTCTTCATATGATTGGAGGAAGAACTGGTGCTGTGAGGTCTGCTGAGATCACAGTGTATTAGAGATTTAAATTTACTTTTAATGGTAACACTTGTTTTTGTAATCAGTATCAAACCGGAGATCCAGGATACGAGTCAAATTTCAGATCTAACCAAACTCTAATGTGATCATCTGTCCCTAAAAGTCTATACCAGTCCTCTTGCTGGTTCATGAAAACAAAACCGAAACAGTTCTTTAGTTTGTCACCCAGCCAGAAAGTCCTGGTCCCAACGACCGGGTTTCAATAGGGGATCTGAAACTGTACAGTGGTGCATGAACTTCCTGTGCACTAGTGTACATGTGCGAGTTTCATCCTGACCCGGCAAAGCTCTCATATGCAGACAGCAGAGGAGCAGCCACACCAAAATACAGTAAAACCCCAATATAAGGGGTCACCACAGGCCTGTATGCAGGTGAAGCCTAAAGCTGCAGACACTCAGCATTTGTTGGACGTCAATGTCAGACTCTGCGTTTTTAAATGATGCTTCATTTACAGTCTGGTCTGTTGATGTTGCACAAGTTCCTCAAACAAAGAGAAAAAGATTTTCTGTTGTTTCTCTCGCTGCACTGAAAAGGTGCCAAGCCCAGACTTCAAAACTGAAACTGAACCAAACACAAATGTTTTTGTCTGATACACCCCGACAGAGTGTATTGCACACACACTAACACACACACTAACACACACACGTCTCACTCCACTCAAACAGAATCAACAAACAACCTTTTCAAATGGATCGAGGAGGCGCGATAAAAAGAGAGTAATGGATTTCCTTTTTCTGAATTTGTCTAATTAATTCATTTGGTTGATGCAAAACCAAATTTAATTGTTGGCTGGTGCATTTTAAGCAGGTTTTCTGTGACAATGATGTCAAAGGACTCTCCAGGCTTTGGTTAGAGGCAGAATTTTACATCATGACTAATTGATATTTGTTTTATTTGACCATCAGCCTCTCTGGTTCAATCTCACGCAGGCTTTAGGCTTTCCTGTGAGCTAAAACAGACAATCATCTTACACAAAGTAATGTTGTTTTGGCTCATGTGTTGGTTTTTGGGTTTATAGTGGAGCTCTGTGTATTGTGCAAAACTTGAAAAAATAAGCAGAGCAATGCTATCAAATATAGATTTACATCCATCGCCTTGGCAACCAAGCCGTCAGCTGACATCTGGCTGCCGCATTTCTTTGACAAAAAGAGTCAGAAGTCAGAAATCTCTGCTTGTGACTTCCTCCTCTGCAAATGAAGTACAGAGTGTCAAACTTTGCAGGCAGAAAAGTGATTCCTACTTGGAAGTCATGCTGTTTTCTCAATGAGCACCCTTAAGTCTGCTCGTGGTTTTACTGCAGTCTAGCACAACTAACCAATAAAATCTTTGTTTTCTTTTCAGGTTGTATGTGACTATTTAATTTCTTCATCAGTTTTGGTGAAACAGTTAAAGATCAATACCCCCAATCATGATTTAGCTCCAGAACAGCCCGTCTACCATCCATGAGTCAGCACAGTCATCCGTCTGAGCTTCCTGTCAAACCTCTTTTGAGGAAAACATGACAGTAAAGTCCTGACAGAGGTGTGCGGCGCCGTGATGAGAGGAACAAGATGCAAAATGCGACATTAAACCAAGCAGAACAAAGTGAAGGAAAATGATTTATGGAGCAATCTGTGGGTATCCCACTTAATTAATATGGTGTCAGATTGTACATGGATGAGGCTCCTCTGATGAACTACAGAGTGGGAATCCTGGGGGACTTTTCCAAAATAAATCAGGAAGTTTTCAAGGTGTGATCCCTGAGGGGTTGGTATACAAGTGAGCTGAATGTGTGTGTGCGCATGTGTGTGTGTGCGCAATGTTTACAGCCTGCAGAGCGTTAATGCTACGATGACTGACATTAACATTTCAGACATGCAGCAGCTGCTGTTGTGAAGGGAGGGTTCAACAGATGCAGAGAAACCAGGATTAAAAACCGATTAAATAAACTTTGTTATCTGTGCTTGTGTTGCAGCATCATAGCAGTTAACTGAGGCTGTTATGATGCTGCACTGTATGGTTGGCTGCAGGATCTGTGATTGGGTGTAAGCCGGTTTAGCAGAGGGATCATTTTAACCCACTGTGTTTTTAGATTCAGTCAAAGGTTTAAAAGAGCGATTGAGTTTTGGTTTGTTTACCACAGGAGCTTCTGCAGCTGTCAGGGTTTTGTGCTAAAAAGAGAGAGCTGCTCTATTGTCAGTTTTGTTTTTGTGCGTCATGTTGGTATTTTTGTATCTCTGACTGACTGGACTGCAGTTTTATTGTCTAAGAAAATGACTAAAGCGTTTCTCTGAGTGTCTTCACTCTTGAATTTGCAGTTATGCCATTTATTATGTCATGTCTTATATAATATAATAACCACTATAAAATTGTTGGTTTTTGATGGCACTGCTTCTGAAATCTTACAGTTTCTTATGATTTTACTGCTTTTGGTGCTACTGAGTTCAAAGTCAATAAAAACATCATATTAATAGATCACATGAGCAGAAACTTTGAAAACTATTTGACTTTGAAACTTAACATAAAATGTCATTTGCAGCGAATAATGTAAGAAACTTAAAGCATGACAGGCCCTCAGCAGCCCCTCCCTCCCAGTGCAATAGCAATAAAAGCAGCCAATCATCACTCGTCCGTCTTTGTGCTCGTGTCTGCGCCCATCATTCAGCCTGGTACTGTCAGCACTTCCACCCCCCTCAGGATTCCCACAGCGCCATGTGGCAATGAGGGTCACATTGCATTCTGGGAGAAACTCTCGGCTCAGATCCCCTCTGGGCACGGCCCCGCCCCCCTCGACAATCTTGCCCGGTCTCCTCCAAAAATTCCTCGGCCTCCAGGGCACCGCACGACCCAAAATAACAGGACACATCAGCACTTTCATCTGCATCCCCGAGCAAGCTCAGACACTGCAGCAGCAGCTGTTGGACCACTCACAGGCTGAGAGAGAGAGAGAGAGAGAGAGAGAGAGAGAGTCTGAAAAGTACTGAGGTGCTATAGTTGGCACGCCCCCTCTCCCCTCCAGTGATACGAGCACAGACGGAGCCAGACTTGGATAGGAGTACCAGGCGAGGTGTGGCTGACAGAGCTGTCCTTTAGGTGTCCTTCAGATACAAACAACACATTCACCCAAATGAAGATGACACTGATACACCTGTGTATATACATACATATAAAACTACTGAGTCCTCAAACAGGCTATTTTTATTGACGTTTTAGGGCTTACCTTTAAAATACAGAGTTAATTTAGCTTTGTATATGTTTATCTGCTGATAATCACAGAGACTCTTTTCTTAAACACAGTTCAAGTATCAAACTTTTTGAAGTTTTATGTCATAAATGGTGTTATTATAGTAAACTTGTTCCGATTTGAAATACTCGGCCCTCTGAAAAGGCTTGACAGGAAGCACACTGAAGGTATAACTCATGTTTTGTCCTTGGTCTTCTTTGAGTTTTCACCACACAGGTGACACAGGTAAATGATGAAATGATAAACCAAATATAACAGGTTACAAATGATAATATTCATGAACTTATAACTTTAAAGTAGCTATTTTTACTTTTTACAATACCCTGTACTTGAAAAAAAAAAAAAAACTTTAATATATATCAATCAAATGTCTTCTCATGAATTAAAGTAATGAATTGTAATAAACACAGCGAACCCAGCTGATTAAACACAGTATCACCTAAACAGCCAGCTAAGCGCTAGCTTAGATAACTAATGGAGTTAGCCTCATATGCTAACCAGGAGGTAGCGGAAATGCTAACGTAGGATAGCTTAACAATGAAATAAGCACCAACAGGTGATATATTTACAAGCTACACATTGTTAGCAGGCTATTTCTCAGCTACAGCTTACCAACGGGCCGTGTGCTTCCTGTTAAAATCCCAACAAAACTCCTCCCATTTCGATTTTTCCACAGTGATCTGAAATGAATTATCAAAAATACACAAAATATCCAAAGAGACGTCCAGCCATATTTTGTTATCCATGAGATTAACTGACTTAAATGTTCAACAACAGACTGAAGCTACATTAGTATTTCTTTGTTATCATCAGCACAGTAAGATGAAGGTTGGGATATCTGACTGGTTACCATCGAATAACATTAAATTATTATCATCATCTCCTTATTCATATGATGATAATTAGCATCTAATTTGATTCCGTCTATTAGTGCTGTATTTCATAAAAGCACAAATCTCCAAACTCTGAGGGTAATTTCAGAGAAGAAAAATTGTGCAGTGTTGAGATGATTAATAAAGACAGAGCTGAACAGAGATATAAAAGGAGAGATTTCTTGCTCAAAGCACTTTCGACACAAAGTATTTGCTTTAAAAAAGGGAACAAAACAGGCTGTTCCAGGTGACAGATTACTTTACAGCACAAAAGAAACATTGAGATAGATATAGTTTTTCTTTATCACTGTGAAAAAACAGCATAACCGTGTCTGCCTGGAGATAGAGAAAGTAGCTCTGATCAAGGTCGCAGCCCGAGACAGACTGATTAGGTTTCTGTGGCTCTGCAGAATAAAACACATGACTTATGTGGCGAGTAGTGACTTTGCAACAGAGCGGCTGCACTGCCTGATGTATCTGAGGTCATTGTTTCCCAATGCCTGACGGAGGAGTCCACCACTGTCAGTAATAACTCACAGGCTGTGAGCTGCAGGGTACAATCCCCCAGCTGATAACACGAGCAGAGAGGACACAGAGATACACCATGGAGGGTGTGTCTGATCGGAAAGGACTCACATTTACGTTTGTTTTTTTATCCACTCAAAGGCAGAACTACGTTTTCATGACTCTGTTTGTACTACATTTGTGGTCTAATTGGTGTATGGAGAGTAAAAGCAGGCAGAACTTTCAGGATCTGTGACCAACATGACACCTACATCACTGCATGA